CCCACAACATTAATCAGAAATTTATATACCTGATGAGTTGCAATGATGTTGAAATTATAAGGCAAGTGAGTGAATATGTATATGCCTTATTTGACATTAGAACAGAACATCCAATTAAAAGATAATTCTTACTTTTATCTTTTTTTTTTGTTTATGTATTTCATTGTTATTGCTTTTAACTGATGAAAAATTTATTTCAAGGATGCAATAAAATTTGTTATTATTATTATTTCGATGAAGCTCTGTAGTAAGTATGCAAATCTGCCAAAAACACTGTATCAAGGTTACGCTTATTTTCTTCTCGAAATATATAATATATTAATTACATTGCAATCTGGAATTCAAAATTATGCATCTGATAGCAGTTATCCAACGAAAGATGGGTTTTCAAGCATCATTATGTCACGGCATCCCTATATGGTAATGATGAACTTTCAACCTTTCAACAACATGGCACTGAAGTCATTTAATCTGGGAGCAATGCTTTCTAATTTTATCTGTGTTGACTAAGGAAATGTTACAATCTATATGAATTATTTTAAAGCACTTTTTTCTTGCCACATGCCTGTGGTTGCAAAAAGTAAAAAGGACCATTTGTTAAAATCCTTGTTAGAGCGATGTGTTGCGATATCTGATTAGGATCACTGGGAGATGTAACGTGATGCATACATCAGGGGATGTCAAGTTTTGTAACATGTTATTTTAAAAACTTAATAATGATTTCTGTGCTATGTTTTGCATAAAAAGTTAAAGTGCAAGTTAAAGATATACAAATTTAAAAATTAGTTTAAAAGGGATTCATTTTAATAATTAGTTTTTTAAATTGGATTTGATTTGCAAGTGTTTTCAGTAGTTCTCATCCTATGTAGCTCGGTATTTTGCAAAATGGCTGAAGATATTTGAAAGATGCTTTAAGGAATTGATATGTCATATTTTAAACTAAATTTAGGCATGTAATTGGTGTGGATATTTTTAAACTCTGAACTTTTAACATTGAAACATCACAGGTCTACAAATGGTTGCTGCAGAGACATTCCACTCATTGGCCTCTCCCTTGTCACCACATTAAATATCTTGTATCCAGAATGTGTTTAGTACTGTTGGAAAGAATCCAAGATACAAAAATGTATGAACATTCTAATCATGATGACATTTTTTCTATAAACAGTTTTAGAGAATTGAAAAGTAATTGGCTTGTCAACCTTACTCTTGTTAATTCTTTTAATCTTTAAATTATCATGAAAACACAAATAAAAAATTACTTTTTTTGGTGAAATGTATGCTGCCAATGCATTTTTAACTCACTAGTTCTCAGATTCCTCCTTCTTATTTATTTACTTAGTGTGGGGTTTATTCAAAGAGACAGTTGCTTCTAATATGTGTGTTATGTAGTTTACTCGTATATTTGCACCCAGAATGTTTGTTGTATTTTATATTTCATCTAATGGAGTAATGGAGTACCCATATGGTGCAAATGTCTTAAAAAAATAATAATTATTTTTTCAAATGACTTTCACAAAAAATGGATTTCCATTGGGGTGTGAGATGAGTATTACATGTACTAAAACTGCACAATTTGTGTGGGGAAATGTGTTTCATCATTTAATTTGATTTTTCAGTTTATATCATTTTTAACCAGTACACGACACACAAATTTATGCACAGGGCTCTCATGTCTTCAACAAGAGTTGGATTTTTTGTTTTTGCAGTTCTTCATATTAAAAGTTATGACAAATATTTGTTGAAAAAAAAATTTATAAAACTTAGCTTTGTGTTTAATTGTTTACAAGGAATATTCACAAAATGATATTAGGAAGTTGTCAAAGCTGACAAGCATTTTATAAAAGAAGTTCAACTGCCTGTGCAAATTGACTGCTATTTATTCCTAAAAATAACAACTTCCTCATTTGCAGTATTGAGATAATGAATTCAGTGACATATGCAGAGATGATGTGATGCATTATGGGAGAAATGTCTGAACTCTGCCTGACGTCTCCACCCCCAATTTACTGTGGTGTGTATTCTAATTTAAGCGTCAGGCAACAATGAAAGCTATTCATTTTGTTCTAAAGTTAATGTAGGTGTCATAAGGAGCCAACATTTGACATGTGATAAAAAAATACTCAGTAACTTTAATATGTGTTGGTTTAATTTTGTAGAAAATGACAAATATAGAGCAAACAATTCCAAATGCAAACATGTACATTGTATGTTTAGTAGCTAATAGTCTAAATCAGTCTAGTCATTCTGTTTCACATGTGAATAACTTTAATTATGGACTTTTTTAGCTCCGCTGTCGACTTTGTCGAGCGGAGCTTATCATATGAGTGATTGTTCGTCGTCGTCCGTGTCAATGTTTTACTTTTTCGACTTCTTCTTGAAAGCTACAAGCCTAAATGCTTTGATACTTGGTGTATATGTACCTTGGGTAGACATCTCTTAGGTTTGTTCATTTCATGTTGATATCTTTAATTCTCTAATTTTGGTGAATATTTTTGTCATTTTTGGTAAAAACTGATATTTTCGACTTCTTGTTAAAAACCGCAAGTGCAATTGCTTTGATATTACATATATAGGTACTA